TGTGTGTGTGTGTGTGTGTGTGTGTGTGTGTGTGTGTGTGTGTGTGTTTGCAGGCCTGGGAGGTTGTCACCATGGAGATGATGTACCCCTCTTTATCTCAGCCAGCTAAGGTTGCTATTAATTATTACTGCGCTGAGGAGGCCCACACACACACACACACACACGAACACACACACACCTCAGATTAACCTTCTTATATATTTAACACCACATGAAACATTCATCTTTTATTTCATTTTATTTTCAATGTATAAATATTTGGATAAGAAAAATTTAGCTTTTTGCAAAAAAAACATGGAACTGCAGGAGATCATGAATCTTACATTCTTTCTTTAACTTATTAATTCATCATCTTTCTTTCTTCTTTACTTTAAATGTTTTTTAAAAAATATATAATTTCAGAATAACCTCAGAAAACGTATCTCAGTTGTTTTCGGTGTTTTAAAGAGTTGGTTCAGATTCACCAAAGTCACTCAACACACCACACTGACCGATGAAGGCAGCAGCAGAGCAGCTCGTGTTCTGAGAGGTTAAGTCACTGTTTTTCGTGGCCCGTGGTCCATTTTGAATTGGCCCGCAGCAAATTCTAGAAATATAACAGAATATGGCCCACACATGAAACTTGAGCTCGACTGGATTGTGCTTCATAGTTTCACCACTAGGCGGAGGTACTGTGTTGAACAAGGCAGCTTCTCCACAAAAGAAGAGCGATCAAAGAAACGTTTAGCCCGGATGATGACGCGTCCTACACTGGTACCAAGCTAGAACAGAAAGTTAAGCAAATGGCAGCTAGCCTGCTCGCTCAACAACAGTATTTTTTCCGTGCTAACGAAACACAAGAAAAAGCCACAATAGCAGCTACGAGGTAGCTCAAGTCATTGCCCGCCACGGGAAACCTTTCTCAGATGTTGCCTCACTACAGTCACAGGTTTAATGTGCCCGGAATAAATGCAGGAGTTCAACAGCGTTAGCGTGTCCAGAAACACAGATGTGCGCCGAATCAAAGACTCGTCAGCTAACCTCAAACATCAAGTGTCAGATAAAGCTTGTGCTTTTTACTCCATTGCATGTGACGAGAGATGCAATTGACAAGATGGCACTTAATGGAACAAGCTGTGTTTCAAGTCTTCTTCAATACAGCATGATGTTCATTTAGTAAATGATGGTCCATTTAGAGTCACATACGAGGACCCTGAAGACCCTCCTGTACCGGCAGGATCCTGAAGACCAGAAGAGGTTTAAACCAGAGTTCACGTGTTATTACTAGTGCTGGGCAAATTAACGTGTTATTTTTTTTATTTATTATTATTGTAACAGACTGTCTCATGTTTATCGTTTTGTATTGGAGATATGATGTCCCTTCAGGGTTGCCGTAGAGAAAAGGCGACTTCCGCTTCTGGTCGAGGGGGGGCAGAAATAAAGAGAGAAGCTGCACCAGCTGTTGCTCTCCCTGGAGACTACTGGACATCGCTGCGGTAAAGTCAGCAGACACTCAGATCTCCGTGGTCAACTCAGCAGACACTTACATGTCAGTGCACCTATAAGCTGACATTCACGGTAAACGCATTTAAACGGCACAGATCGGGAGCGAGTGAAGGACTTTGAAAGTTAGCGGAAAGATTAACGTGAGACAACATCCGGTTTCTTCAGACGAACATCCGGTTTTCAGAATAAGATGCCAACAAAGTATGAATTATATTCACATTAAGTATAAAACATGCTACCTGCATCTCGTGAACCAAATGTTATTGCCCTTTTGTTCATATAGCAGTACTTTTAAAATAAAAGTGCGCAATACACTACTTTTGAATTCATTATTGAACTTTGCCATAACAATGAGATTAATCGCAAAAAATCCATGAGATTAATCGCGATTAAATATTTTAATCGTTGCCCAGCACTAGTTATTACACGTTTAGTACATCTCCATCACTTTGAACAGCCTGTCCTTCATGAACAAGAACAGATGGAGAGAAGATTCAAATAATCTCTCTCTGCAGAGGATGTTGATTTAAAGTGTAAAACACACACACACACACACAAACTCTCTCACACACACACACACACACACACACACACACACTCTTTCACACATACACACACACACAGACACACACACACACACACACACACACACTTGTCCTGACTGGTTACCCCGGCAACAAGGATATGATAATGTTGCCTTTGACATGACATCACTATCTTCATCTACCTCCTTCACACACGATCACCTGTTACACTGGCAGGTGAGTGTGTGTGTGTGTGTGTGTATCAAAATCACAATTTAAATCCTGGACCAGTACTTATGAGACAAAACCAGTCCACTATGAATCCAGTCCAGTCAGGTCCGGACTACGAGTTACATCTGGTAAACCACATAAAACTACAAAAACTACATAAAATACATACAACTACATAAACTACATAAACTAGATAAAACCACATAAAACTACATAAACTACATAAAACACATACAACTACAGAAACTACATAAACTGCATAAACCACATACAACTACATAAACCACATAAAACTACATAAATACATAAAACTACATAAACTACATAAACACAGGAGGAAACTGGTGGATTTCTCTCAAGTAATCCACACTTTATCTTCTAAAAACCATTCAAATATTCAGCTTTTTTAAACTTGTGCACTGTGACAAAAATCACAACTATCTATCAACACGTAAAATTAAAATTAAAATAATAGACTTTATTTAAAAAGCACCTTTCCAAAGACAGTTACAGAGTGCTTAACAATAAAAAACAGAACACATTTAAAAATAATTAAATACGTATTTACTGCCGTACCAGTACTAATACCACACTGTGAAAATACTACATATATATATTAAAAATACTATGTATTTAAATACCTAAAAGCTCTTCCTTTAGGAATAACAGTCCAGTTCCTATTCTACTGACACCACTTCCAGTCTTTCCCTCTCTCCCTCCTCCTACAGTCCAGGTCCAGTGACTCCATCGATCCATGGGTCCAGCGCTCCGGGGTTTGGTTGCATTGTACCCTAACCAGCCATTTATCCCCACAGCGCTGTTTTGTCTGTCTGTGTAGCCGTCTTATGTGTGTCTGTTGACGGGTTAACCTGGAGGAATATATCACCTCCATCATGGATTTACCTGGGATCAGTTTTATTTTTCATCATCCAGGCCCTAAGAAGTGACTCCTCCAAAATAAAAATGTCGTTTTGACCGTGTGATGCCTGCGGTCCAGTGAACTGGGAGAAGCACGTTTTACTGGTTATTGGAGCTTATTTTAACTGTGTTTTTATTTCTTTATTTTTCTTTAAACTGGGATTATTATCGGACCCTATGGAGTGTAACACATGAACGTTTGGCCGGATAGAGATCTCAAACGGCTGTAAGTGTTGAAGTCTCTTTGGATCCACTTTTCTTCTTCTTTTCTTTTTTTGTGGGTGTTTTTGAAACGCGGGATATTAGCCTGCTAGCTAAATCTCGGAGGTTAGCTCGTTAGCTCAGCAGGCTAGCTACTGTCTTTGTCTGGAGCGACCGAGAGGGTAGCTAGCTTCCATTATCGGACACGTCCCCGTCTGACCTGCTTGTTTCCTCTTTTTCTAACCCTGAATATTTTCTCCTCTATATACTTTTTAGACATGTTAACAAATGGCCTTTCCCTGTTAACCCACACACTCCTTTAAGTAGCTACTGATGCTACGATGCTAATTAACCCTGGTTGGATAACTGTGTATTAAACAGTCTGTACCGATCATGTTTTGACGTGTTTTCAAGCTATTATAACACTTTTTTAGAAGCTCTAAATCAGCAATTTAGTTAATTTGAAACCTAGCTTTCATCCAATGCGAGTGTTGTTGTTAATGCTGTGGTACTGCGATGAATAAGTTAGAGGAGAGACGGCTTAGCACTTGTCCGATAATGGATCCATAGCTTTGTCAGAGCGCCGCATCGGTTAAATTTGTCAATCACAACGACATAAAATAGGACGTTAAGGTCAACAGTTTGTATACAAACGATATGTGTAATGTTGTGTTTTAGGTTAACATCTGGGTTGTTGCCTTGTTATGTTTAGCTTTAGTAAGGGGTGTAGTTCTTGTTGAAATGTAAAGAAGTTTACACGAAAAACACTCGCAAAAAGAAAATGTCACCATCAGCTACGCGTCCGATAATGGATGCAATTAGCCTCGTAGCGGTCCGCCTCGGGTTTATTTACGCCTTCACAAGTTGTGCCAACATGTCTTCGTATTAACCTTTAAGTGGATGTTTAGTGTGTCAGTTTGAAGTTAATATTAGTCAGCTAACGCCACCGTAGGACGTCATTATTGTGCGTTAGCTTAGCGCTAAGAGGCTACATTTATGCTAACAACCAGGCCGCTAGCTTAGCTCAGCTAACGGTAGCTTAGGTTAGCTAGCTCCGTGGGACCGGTGGGGTTTGCAACGATGTTGTGTTTATTTACGTGCACAGTTAACAACATAACCCCCAATACATGATTAGCATTTAACGCATTGTGTTTGTTTATTGTCCTTTACGACGTAAACAGACAAGCTACTGATCAGTAATGTGGCTAACGCAAATGCTAGCTAACGTTACATGATATAATAAATATACCACCCTGAACTGGGGTCACCACGTTCAACTTTATTTGTATCTTTGCAGCAGATTTTATACAAGAAGTGAGTGATATGTGTGTGTATGTGTATGTATGTATGTATATATATATATGTATATATATATATGTGTATATATATATATGTGTATGTATATATATGTGTATATATATATATGTGTATATATGTATGTGTATATATATATGTGTATATATGTATGTGTATATATATATGTGTATATATATATGTATGTGTATATATATATGTGTATATATATAT